TTTATTCCCTGCCCTCTCAAGAAACAGCGGTCCATTGACCAACACAAACTCGACAGAAGTCACTTTGTCCTTCGCCTCGAGTCTGCGTATGATCTCATACATAAACCGGTCCTCGCGATAGGCTTCCACCATAGAGCGAGTAACATCGTCCGCAAGCCTAAACTAAGTGATCAGCGCACCAGAGAAATCTGGTCTACGCGACAACGCATCAACAACCTTGTTGTACTCGCCCTTGATGTACTGGGCTCAAAGTCATACTGCTCTATGACTTTGATCCAACGCTTCAGAGCTTCGGGGAGCACAGGCTAGGTTCTCATCCACTTCAGGGTCTGGTGATCAGTCCTAACGTAGAAGAACCTTCCAAGGAGATAGTGTCTCCAATGGGTGAGCGCCTTGTAGATCGCATAGAGTTCATTCTCATAGGTGGACTTAGCCAACTTATGAGAGGGCATCTTTTCCGACATGTACTCTACCAGCCTCAACTTCTTTCCCTCCTGTTGCGCAAGTACGGCGCCTATGCGATATTGGCTGGCATCCATAATTATTACGAAAGGTTTGTCAGGATCAGGAAGTTCCAAGACCTCATGGTGTGTCAACGCATGCTTCAGTTGTCTAAAAGCAGCCTCGCACCTGTCTCTCCACTCCCATGGGGTGTCAAGGCGAGTCGGGTCCATCAAAGGGGCGGCCACTATGCTGTAATTTTGAACAAAATTGTGGTAGTAGCCTGTCATTCATAAGGACCTCATCTCAGTCAAGACTGAGGACGCGGCCAGTCACGAATGCTGGCCACCTTCGCGTCATCGGGCTTCAATCCCTCCGCGGAGATCTCATGACCCAAGTACAAGACACGGGTGCGGCCAAACTCGCACTTCTCACCGTTGATCTTGAACTTGTGTTGTCGAAGAAGGCTAAGGACTTTGTCCAAGTGCGCAACGTGCTCCTCGACAGTCCTACTAAAAATAAGTATGTCATCGAGGTACCCGATGACAAACTTATCCAAGTAGTCATGAAATATCTGATTCATAGAGTGTTGAAAGGTGCCAGGAGCATTGCAAAGGCCGAAAGGCATCACCACAAACGCGTACAAACTGTACCTGGTCTAAAATGCGGTTTTGTGTTGATCCTCAGTCCGGATTGCAATCTGATGGTACCCGGACTTCAGATCTATCTTATTGAAGTACCGACACCCATTCACTCTATCTAGCAAATCGTCGATGCGCGGCAGGGGCTCTCGGTTCTTGACAGTGATGGCATTGAGGCCCCTATAGTCAATGCACATCCTTAGTGTTCCTTCCTTATTCGGTAGGAATAGGAACGGATCCAACCCTTCTCTACGAGTTCCTTGAGTTGTCGACGAAGCTCATCAAGCTCGCCTGGAGACATCTGATAGATCCTACCCTTCGGGATGCTAGACCTTGAGATAATCTCTATCACGTGGACGACCTCCCTCTCAACAACCCCTGTAGGCTCTTCAAATAGATCGGGGTACTTGGCAACTACTCCCTCTATCTCCGACGGCATTTTCACCGGCTTGCCTATTGCAGAGACATAGACTAGATACATACCCTCCTCCGGATTTTGCTTATAATAGTTATCGAACTCAACCGCACACATGCATCCGTAGGACTCGATCAGACTACTAGCTTTGAACTTATGTAATTTGGCAGTCCCCCCACCTGGCAAAGTGTGTTTGACCACTTTTCGGTCCCAGTCAAACTGGGGATGTGCCACGAAGACATAGTATATACATAACAAGATATCAATACGGAGATCATCGCTCACTAGGAACAAGACGCGATGTCTCAATTCCCCTCCCGCGTACGGTAAACAACACTCAACATCCAGGAGGTAGTCGTTGACTACCATGCGCTGTTTGTTGGCGCAGGTCGACTCCACAGGTCGACTCAAGCGCTGCACTTGCCCCTGTAAGCGCAGCTTCTCAACGCTTCTATGCGCAACTAAGAAAGTTCCATGTCGAGCAAGTGTCATAATAGGCCCCGGCCTTGCAGCCGCCAATGACCACCTCGCTGACGAACATCTCACCCTTAGGGGCTCTGACTAATGTCGTTCAAGACGCTAGTGGGTCTGATCTAGACCACTCCTCCTCTCTGATCTAGACCACTCCTCCTCTACCTCCTCTAAGGACTCAAACACATTCATCGAACAGAGGCTCAATGGGTCTGAACGTGTTTGCGGGACGACGATGGAGTCAGTAGCTTGGGCCATCTCTCGAGATGGTGAGGGTGTATCCACCACCTCGACCCTAGCAGGAACAACTCCTATTCCTACTGGCCCGACGTGTTTCCCGGAGCGGTGCCAGAACTGCTGGCCACATTGCTACCAATGGGAGCGGAGGATCCCAACTCCTGCCCCATCGTAGGTGTGATCTTTTCGGTCACCTTCTTATTTCAGCACTTGAATTGGTTATGGCCATATTGGCCACAACGGACACAAGCCTGTCGAGCAAGTGTCATAATAGGCCCCAGCCTTGCGGCCGCCAATGACCACCTTGCTAACGAACATCTCACCCTTAGACTAATGTCGTCCAAGAAGCTAGAGGGTCTGATCTAGACCACTCCTCTAGCTCCTCTAAGGACTCAAACACATTCATCGAACAGAGGCTCGATGGGTCCAAACGTGTTTGCGGGACGACGATGGAGTCAGTAGCTTGGGCCATCTCTCGAGATGGTGAGGGTGTCTCCACCGCCTCGACCCTAGCAGGAACAGCTACTACTCCTACTGGCCCGACGTGTTTCCCGGAGCGGTGCCAGAAGTGCTGGCCACATTGCTACCAACGGGAGCGGAGGATCCCAACTCCTGCCCCATCGTAGCCGGAATCAGGCCCAGAGGCTGAGCCTCTAATTCAGTTTGAACCGTTACTCGTTTTCAGAAAAAACGTTTGGACCTTTACTCGTTTCTGGCCAGACGTTTGGACCTTTACTCGTTTTCGG